GACGGAAAAATCTGGGTCCATTTTGCATATCAATCATTCTCATTAGCCTTCAAATTCCTGGGTATGCAATGTGCGCTCCCAGAGGTTAAAATAGTTGTATCCACCCCTGCAGCCTGCAGTGTTTATACGCTGCGGGCGTACCGCGGCCTCTAACGGAGATATTTGACAATCCATGGAAACTTCCAAGTTGGCAACACCGCATGGTGTTTCCATCTCTCTTCGGCGAACGGGTTGCCTTGCTCTAAATGTTTTTTTTTTCGCTTCCTCGTTGCGTCAAATTAATTAATGTGTCTCATTTTGTTTCGCACTGCGTTTCGCTGCCGGGGCAGTTGTAAGCGAGACATTACTTTTCGTCGCTCCTCTGACAAAAAGGCGTATCTTAATTTCCACTTGAGCCCGTTTTTACATAAAAATCTATGCTTTTTGAGGCTCACGTGGAGATAGAGATACGTCCTTTCGTCAGAGGAGCGAGGTTTTGACATCGGCGGCGAATCGTCGCAATCTGTTATCACGTGCAGTGAGGTGCCGTATTATTCCATCGTTTATTTTAGTTTATTAATTTGCCTGACAACCCTCTGTGCACTTGCGTTTCCAGGACAGAATGCTCAGTCAATCAAGGAAATTATCGACTGCATTCATTATATGAATTTGGGTTTAGACATATGTATGGAAAGGGTGGCAAAATTTTTTCAAGAGTGTAAAAGTTATATGTATTTTCTACACAAGATTCGCTGTTGAATCCAGTGGTAGCCTCGTTTGTTCCTCAGGTTTTTGAAATGAAATAATTGAGGAACTTGGAAGACAAGGCGCACAAGTGCAGTGTGCAGTTTTTGATATTTTGAGAAATACATGTTTGAAGTTTCGAAATCATATGGATTTTTATGGCGGAGAAAAAGTTCAAACTGACTTTTTGATGGTTAAAAATTGAAATTTGGAGGCGAATTTTTCGCTGAATTTGCATGAAGACTAGTTTTACTTGAAATCATTAATAACTCAATTTTTCCAAAACCTGCACTTATGCTCTTTGTCCGCCAAGCCCCTCAATTAAGAAACAAATGTAACTAAACATATAGATGGCTAAAGTACGGGACCCCTCGTATCTTCATTTGCGACGTTGCAGACTTACTGTCCTACTTTCTTATTTCTTCCGAAAACTAGACACCTTAATTTCTCGAAAACTTTCTCAATTTTCCTGGTCTATTAGCAGAATAGTCAGTGTAAGTTTCAAGTTACACAGTTGCCTTTTTTCTCTGCGAAAAAATTAAATAGCAGCAAAGATTTTGAAACACTGTGATGAAGATACTTGGTTTTGCAATTTAGCCATCGATGTCTTGCACGCCTGACAGGTCTTTTCTAATGTATTTTGAGCGGCTGAATTTCCATGTTTTTTCCACGCTGTTCCGTGTCGGACAATCAAAACCGAGTATTACATGACAGCGGCGAAATATCAGAGCAGAGCGACACCATGCACGCGCTCGATATCAAACAAACTAACACAAACAATCCAGGCTGCCTAACGAAGCGTGAGCTTGATGTAAACAGAGAGAGAGAGACACGACGTAGGTGGCTCGGCGAATCCGAGGGGTGGATCGCGGAGCTCGAATGAGCGGGTGCACGCCTGCAGATTAAGAGGTAGGCAACCGACCGAACGCTTCGAATGCGAGCATTCAATAAAACGCCGCTCAGTGAGTTACCGGCAATCAGTTACCGCGTCACTTCGAATTACCATTTCATTCACATCTTATTTCCGTTATCCGTTGGCATGGAGTACGGTCGATATGAACTGAATTTAACTGAGAGGAGCCACGCCATATTAAGTTATAATAGAGAAAAAAGGCTTGAAGTTATCTGTGTCCGCAACTCTCAATAAAAAGTGAACCTTGAGCACTCGTGTAAGGAGTACTACAAATTGGACTGCAATTTGCTATTTGCACCTGTAAATTCTGGCTCATCTGAAAAAACACTTATGTGCATAGGGAAACTAATGGCACATACGTTGTTTTTAAACTGCGCTGGAATTTATAGGTCCAAATTGCAAAATGCAGTCCAATTATTCGTGGGATTTGGATTTTTATGCTGAAGGATGCATAGCAGATCTAGGGCGTAAGAGGGGTAGCGGTTGTGCGACCCCCGTTCCTCCAGAAAAACTCGAAAATACTCATGAGGAATATTAACACCCCCTAGACCCCCCAGTGGATGTGGGGTTTGAAAAAAATTCGCCCCCTTTATCTGGATCCGCCTATGGGAGAATGCAATGTACACGCTGAGTTTTGAATCACTGAAGTCCAAATCATACCATACCCTATAATATAAAATCATAAGGGTAGCATGTCTTGCTAATCATGTCATAAACCGGATTTTCCTCCACTCCTCACCCTCCGTGCCCATTACCCCTGTTTATTATATTTCATAATTAGATACTAGTGAAGCTATACCGGTTTGCTTTTGCACTCCATCCAACCCATGCATTTTCCTCTTTCTCTTGCATTTGCAATGACGATTAATAAATCCCAGGGTCAAATTTTCGATAAAGTCAGCATTTATACATACCGACTCTTTTTCAACTACAGGCAACTATACGTTGCATTTTTAATATCTAAATCAAAACTTGGTATAAAAATTCAAAAAGTGGGGGAAATAATGGAATAATGTGATTTATAATGAAAGGCCAGAAATGTTTTATTAACTTTATTTTTCTTACAGTTTGGAGGCGCGAAGCGGCTCACCTCCTAGATCATCTTTAAATTGTAATCAATGTAACAAAGGTGACCTAAGTAGACGATCTCTAAAAATCAAATTCAATTGATTATTCGACGATTATAACGTTTATGACAAATGTTTAAACCTCGATAATAAAACCCACAGCTATGAAAGACTTATCTGCAAGTTGCCTCATCGTTTCCTCGTAATAAACATCGCGACGAAATTAACTACCGATGATCGAGGCAATACAGGAGGCGAGGTGTGGATGGACGCTGGTGATCCGCGCCGTGTGCGTTAGGCCACCCACCACGCGGCTGGCACGCGCACTAATCCGAGGTTAATTGGTTCGTTAAAGTGGACGGGGGAGCGGAGAGGGCGGCGAGGGGAGGGTAAAACGGGAGGACAAGGAACCGTTCCACTGATAAATTCGACACGTATTGTGTCATCGCAGTCAACCGGTGCACATGCACCGTACTCACAGGGATTATCCGAGGGTTCGCGGGACAGGACTCGGGAGTCGCCGAACAGGAACAGGAAATGGATGCGACAGATCGACAAGGAATCATCGTTCTAAATATTGAGAAGCATGGAGGGGCTTAGAGGACAAGGCGCATGGGTGCAGTTTTTGAAAAATGGAGATTTTCAGCCAATATTATTGTATTAACAAATGCCGCCTTTTTATCTTTGTGTTTAATAATAGTTCTTCGTTTTAAAAATAAGTAGTAGTACAGTACAAGAGCACTCGAGAGAAGATTTGAAATCGAGATTTGTGTCGATCACCAACCTAGCCGGTACTGTTGATCTGCACCATTCGACAAAAGCTGAGAAAAAAAAAATAATAATAATTCCATTTTCGTCCTCCTCTTTTTGAAATGAGCCGATCTGTTTCTTAGACACGTGGCAGACACAATCTCATGAGCCGCGAAAATCGAGGTCGGTTAGAATCCCAAGGCTCACCAAGTCTCAAAATTAACGCGACCTCAACCTAAATGGTTCGATCGTCATGCCGTTTGTCACCCTACTCACAATTCTACCCGCAAGAAGTGTGATTCAGTTTCCGGAGAATTTTTTTTTTTTTTTGCAGGTTTTGCTCGGCGTCTTCACATGGGAGTTTCCTGCGACGGAATCATCCGCCGAACCACCTCCCAACCGCACCTCTCGTGCGGCAACTTATAATTAATTGAACGTCTTTATGCCAAAAGGAACTAAGTCACACGCAAACCCTACGCACTTAGTTCCTTTTGACATGAAGACGTCCAATTCGGAGGAAAGTTATTTTAAACGGTATAAAAAGTCGCGAAATGAATGCTCGGAGGAGGATGCTGAAAACATCTGTGTTAATGAGCTCATCCCTATGAAGAAATAGATGACGTCATCACCAGTGGCGTGGGGCGTGCTTTGCAATGTATCGATTGATCTACCATTTAAACCTATGAAAAAGGATCGATTAATAGGCTGTTCACAACGAACACCTCTCTAATCGATTCTTTACCATATCTTCAAATGGGAAAATATCGTTAATCGATCATTCTCGCCACGCGCGCCACTGCTCATCTCGTAATACGATTTTTTATCGAGGATTTGCTATGACCCAGGCCAAGGGAAGATGCCGTTTTAACTATAGGACGTTGGGCTCCTAATGAAAAAACTACAAATTTTCTCGATTTTGCCCTTGGAAATTTTCAGAGAATTTTAATAGCAATTAAGTTCAATATTACTGGAAATTTTAAGGGAAACTTAGGGAATAGGGGGAGAAATTGACAACATTCCCGCACGCTCTTACGGGGGAGTTCTCTTTTAGAACTTTAATAATTCAAAGATGGCTGAGTGCGGACAGTACGTATCTAGATTGCAACGTTTAAAAACCTCGGACTATGCTTTAATCCGCAAAGAAAGCTAATCAGAATGTTCCCCTGCAATTTTATGCGATTTATTTAGAATTAGCCAGGAAATTCACGGAAATCTTTTATTAGAAACTGTAGGTTAGTTTCCATTTAAAAACTAAAATACGAGCGGAAACTTAAAACATCGCGACTCGACTTACAAATTTTTCGATTTTTACCATCGAATGATCGGTAAGTATTCAGGAAAGTTATCATGACTAGGATATTACCTATTCGGTTATTATTTCCTCATACCATACTAGGTCAAGTGGCTTTTCACACCATTTACGCTATCAGCCGTTAGCAGAATCTTGGCGGATAACAATTATTGCTCTGATATAGAAAAAATTATTTTGAACTCTGACGGGACCATTTGATTGTAAAAAGTTTTTAAAAAAATAAACTACGATTGTGTATTATTTTAACAGAAATTTTACTCACCAGGAAATTAAAATAACAGAAATAAGTACTAAACAAAGGTTTACACATTACATTGAAAGGTACACCTAAAGATTAAACTTTTCACAAAAATACTTAAACTTTATAAAAGTATATTCTAGTGACTAAACTTAAAACAAATAAAAATACTTACAAGAAAAAGAAATATTGCAAAAAGGGAAGAAAGGGAAGGGGGCGTTTCAGTACAATGTTTAGGTGAGGAGTCTGCCATCAAACGCAAATTGAAGAGATAGTGTTTTTGTTGAACATAATTCAGACCAGGGACCAGGGTTTCTCATTATAGCCGAAAAATACGGGCCACATTTTAATTGGTCCTGTTCAATACTATTTGACAGTAGATATTGGTTTGTAAAATTTCACTTGATGACTTCCGAAAACATCGAAAATCATTAAAACCATTAAACCTCAAAATCATTTAGGGACAACTGTTAGGTATTTTATGACAGAAAAATAAACATTTCCAGTTTAACTTAAAATATTTAAATTGCGAGGAGACCTGCGAAATTTATCCATCATTAAATTAAAAGCAAAATATTGACGCAGAGCAAATATTGAACGATGTCATTCCATAAACTCTACTCGTTACAGAAACATGCCTGAAAAATTCAGACTTATTCAAAATCCCTGCTTTTTTCAAAGAATGTCTTCAAAAGAATGAAGTATGAGGGTCCTAAAACATTTACTCAGATCGTGCCACTATGAGGGTTGATGGTTTCTGCTTTTGTCACTTCTGTACCTCTACGTAGTTATCAGCATGCCTGCGGAAGTTCGCGGAAGTCAAGCGGGTGTTGCAGAGTTCTCTTCTTAGGTTCTGAAACAGTAAAAAATAGTTTGCTCTTTAAAAACAGGTCAAATTGATATTCAATGACAAAAAAATTCTAATTGGCATAATTAAACTTTTTTAATTTATTTCTCAAAAGTAATCACATGCGTTTTTTATTCGAAAATTTAAAAAATTCATCCCGATCACGCGAGATTCACAGTGCGTTCATTTTCCGAGATGTGTCATGAAATATCCTAAATGAAGCATATTTTTTTAACATAAAATAGTATGTAAATTTTCCGAATTCAGGACAGCGTTAGGAAACATTCCGTATCTATTTCTCTAATCTGTAGGTATCCGTTTCGAATCACATATTCGTGCGCTTCGGAAAAATAATGGTTTTGAATGACATTTCGACAGCTTAAACGATAGGTCAATTTTTTTAATGATTCAAATGATCATTTCAAGGAGGTGGGAGGGGACGTGTCTCTGAGTAGTTTCTTAGCGACGCATCCGTTCATCGATAAAAAAGAGTGGCAGAAAAAAGTAAAGCAAAATACTCTAATCTACCTCTTAAAAAGTCCTCTTTGTATCAAATGATAGGGGAGGCGAAGAACGGTCGGCGTTCACAAAGGCGAATTGAAAAAGTATCTATTTAAAAACATACTCCAGGAGTGGCTCAATTAAAGAATGACAATATTCATTTCATTATGAAAACATATTTGAAAGGGAAGCTAAAAACGCCGAAAAGCGGAACAGATTAGTGTGACAAAGGCTACCTGGGGCGGCCCAAGGACCCAATGTTGTCATCCTGATCGACAACGTTCAAGGATGTTCCTGTCTTCATACGATATTTCTATGCAGTTGGGGGAGAATCAAAATTTCATCACTATTTTGTCCGATGATTTCGATAGACGAAGCAATAACTTGGAGTGCTTTATAAGATAGAAAGATGTCATCAAAAAGTCTGTTGATTGTTTATATTACATGTTAAGCAATCTATGTTACTTATCTAGGTTACTTTGTTATTAGGATATGCTGAAAGAAATACAATATTATGGGTTGCCTTGCCGATGCAAATGTTCAAAGGAATCAAGTGATTCTATCACACTAAGCAGGGCCGGATTAAAGGGGTGATACATGGGCCGCGGCCCATGGCGGCAAATCTAAGGGGCGGCAAAAATTTGCAATTTTTTAAAGTGTAGGCAAAAAAAAATCAGATTTATAAAAACAAAATTATAAACGAGAAAAGGCGACAAAATCTCTCATTTCCTGAGAGTATAATAATTTCTAATTGTGTCGTCTCTTAGTGATACAAGAGACAGCACCCTCAATAAGTCGAGTTACGAGAGAAACCAAACACGCAATTTGGCCTAGAACGCGACTTGGAGAGAAATGATAACGAGGACTTGAGATGAAAAGGAGAAGCCCTCGGCGCGGTGAGCGGCATGTAACACGTATTAGCGCCTTCAGGACTGCGTGAATACTTCACGCATTGCGCCAAACACAGTGCGGTCAGCGTGAAACGCATAGCGCCTACAAGACTGCATGAATACTTCACGCATTGCGTCCAACACGGTGCGGTCTGCGCGGCGCGGCGGCGGAAGTTAAAATCATTGAACCACATGTATGTTTGTTCTTCATAATTTTTTCGTTCATTTCTTATGAATGGAAGGCTTTGTCCACACAGAGATAGGTTTACGGAACTTAACTTTCGCGCAAAGTTTCGTGAACTTTTGCTAGTAGTGTTGACCGGGCTTTCCCAAAAAAGGTTTTCAACGCGAATAAATGCGTCTTATGCACCCCTCCCCCGCTGGCACGTTCATTTGATGGTTTTTATCGAGTTTCAAAACGAATGAGGAGGGGGCGGCAAAATATAGGCGGCCCATGGGCGGCAAGTAGGTGAATCCGGCCCTGACACTAAGAATTATTTAATCCCAAAAACTATACTTTGTGGTAACCAAAATTTTTCCGGCTGAAAAAACTCGTTTTCTGAACTTAAGTTTTCCTCAGCGCAACGGGAAACCACGAAGAAAAAGGATCATAAGGATCTCCACGGGGCCCAGCGTCCCAACTATTAATCCCTCTAAAAAGGCTCTATACACTGAAGAAATAATTCTGTTCACAGGGCTCACTGCACTTTCTTTGTTACAGCTACGGAAGTTTCCGTTATGAGGACAGAGTACTCTGTGCTCACGACCGAAGTTCTGCTCTCACATCAGAAGAATCCTGTAAGTATAACAAAGGTAGTGTGAACAGAAAGTTCTGTCATCAGCGCCAACGATTTTTTTTGCGCGCTACCTCCATTTAGGCACCCATATTCCCTCTGCGCAAAGTAAAAAAACCTAGATTTGGCAATTGTGGACCAGAGACATGGAGAGGCGGACCAAAGTGACTAATAATGTCATTGATATGCTTGCAATTAAGTGTAAGAACCAGTAGCAACAAAGAAAGACAATGCCGCAACAGTTTTTTTCCCCGATGGATCCGCCCTCCTAGACAACAACCACCTATCTGCAACAGAAACCAGCTCGAGATTCGCGATTCTCACCTAAAGGTCCCGACGATCGCGTATCAAAGAGGTTCCGCCGAGATGGCTGATTAGTAAACACTAGGATCTCCTTTTGTCACCCGCTCAGCCGATTAAGGTGCCTTTGAGAGGTCGCAGACCTGTGCGATTGTCGCGTCTCGAGACGCCGTCAAAGAGAGGATCCCATCCAGAAAAGGCTCTCGATTGTAGTTTGTCTACTCGTCGGATTTGAAGGCGCGGAGGCGGCAAGGGTGCCACCCTCGACCTTCTGCCCTCGGGCTAAGATAAGATACCTTAAGAGACATCAGTTATGTACTAAAAGTGGATTTATCATGTAATTTGGGTCATGCCTGGGATTGAATTCAACGTCACTGCGATATACCGACCCAAAGGCCTCCCTAAAACTACGTATCTCGATTGAGACGTTTCAAAATTTCCTCACTTTATTTGTCAGTGTAGGAAAATAAATTTTTACAGGATGACCAGGAAGAAGTGAAGAGAAATTGAAGCGCTGGGTGCAGGGAGGCCGTTTCTTGCTTGCGGTGTCTCACGATCTCCGTCTACATTTCATCCACTATGATTAAAGGAGATGCATGGCATTCTTATAAACTTTTACTGAATTTTCTTTATTACTTTAGAATTCTGACTACTAGAAATTTCAGATAATCCACTCAATAGCTTCCTCTCTAAAATTTAAATTAGTAGTGGAGATTCTAAAACACTGCAGCCGAGAAATGCCCTTTCTGCAGCCAACGCCTAATGTCAGCATTCAAACAGAAGAAGTATCTCCGTTCCGTTTTGTCTATAGCTTTGTCTATGAGTTTTAATAATCAGCCCGCAAGCTGAATTGCTGCTTCGTCCTCTGTCCATGGAAGCCTCTCAGCATTGCTACTTTGCAGATTGAGCTATCTGCTCAATAAAGATTTTTCCCAGGTTGGAAGGCGCAGTGCCAGAATAACAGAGATCATGAAGACAGAGAGCAGAAATTATTTTCGAGTGGGCGATACTCGATGAGAGTGCCGTGGGGCACCGGTGGGTCGGAGGTTGCGAGGGGCACTTCCGGGCACGTGTCGGAACTCTCAGGGGCGACAAGACGAGGTTGGAACTGGGGGACGCCGAGATGCGACAAATCATCGTCATCTCTGGGTCAGGAACCAAACCAAGAGCAAAATCTGTCTCCAGCGTTTAGAAGAAGAGATTAGTGCATCATAAAAGATCAGATACGTGAAAAATCAAATGGTAAACGAGTTTTCAAGAGCCGCCCTCAAACGGAAGACGATCTTATCAATTTAGCAACACTGTCTTCCTCCATTCAAAGCCTTGATTATTAAAATACCTCTTACAGTGGGGAACTACAATTTTTCTTTCCTTGTGCAGATAGGTGCTCTCGTAGATGAGCCAAAATTGGTGGTTCTTAATTGCAAAATGTAGAAAAAACGATCGATTCCAAGAAAAGGAGATCACGTAAAGTAACGACCATTTCGAATCGGTGATTATCTCGACCTGAGTTGATTGTGGCGCCTTGATGCAACTATTCGTGTCCCAAAGATGTACGTGTTGCATGTTTAAAATTGAAGGCACTTTCGCTTTTCTCACCGCTTCAGAAACGCAAGGGAGTAGTCGTTAATTGTAGCACTCGAGTAGCAGAGTATCTATGTAGAGCTATTATTGTCATTGCCGACCTTTTACCACAAATAAAAGTGCTGCACTCTGATTGGTCAAAGAAGTTCAGGTTTTCGTGAATTTTCGGATTTCCAATTTTGGAAATAATTTCTGAAAAATTGATGGATGTTTCTGCTGAAAATTCATTTATCTCTTAGATTAATAGTTCATCTCTCCGTGAATAAAACGGATTCTATTGATCGGTTTTGTTTGCTTGGATACCGGGTTTGTAGCATAAAGCTTGTAAAATTTTATTAAAAATTCTTAAAGAAATTGAAAAACATTTATTTTGAACTTGATTTCCCATTTGTGCCATTTAAATTGATCCAACGGGGCGTAACGCGTATACACATTTTTGCACCTTTAAGAACTCTCTTCAAAGTTACAAATCTTTTTCAAAATCAGCCGCTTAGTTTAAAAGACGGCTGAGTTGACTCTCAGTGACGAAAATTGAGGCGTCTCTCTTCAGCTGAAAGCGTCCCATTACCTAGTCATTTAAATGAAAAATGAATGAATCGTATGACGAAGCGATCAATGAAAATTCTACCGACAACCGAAAGATCGAGTATCAGGGGACATCCTTCCAGCATTTCGAGGAAAAGAGAAAAAGAGCAAAGAAGGAAGGCGAATGATAAGGAATAAAAAAGTGCTATCAATCCTACCTCCCTTCCTCACCTCCGGCGACAAACAACCCGAGTCAACTCGACAAAGGCGACCTTTCAGAGGGGGAAAAAAGCCGAACAATGCCTCAGGTTCGGAGAGGCGACAAGTCCCGATGCATATCAGCGAAAGTAAAGTGAGCTTCTCTCATCTTGGAACCTGATGCTCAATGGCGTGGCGTGCTTTGCGATGTATC